TCTCAACCCTTTTTGGCCAAGCCTGTCAGAGACCGCTTTCGTTATCACACCAAACACGGAGAAGGAATCTCCCCGCCGCAAATGGACTGGCCGCTATTTTATTGTCGGCGGCGACAAGGGGTCAGCGTGCCGGACTATTTCCGCACGCACTTTTTGGTTTAGATGCATTTCCCCCCCCCCCGCCCCATACTCTTATTTTGTTAATGCTTTACAACAATGGATGACAGTGTCATCAGCCACTAGCTTTGTCGGTCTGCGCCATCTGTCTGCAACCTGAGGGCATGATGACGGGTTAATAATGATGTGACGTAAACCAGACGTCAGCATAAAGTTACGTTGCTGTTAGCGACTTGCCCGATGGGGCGGCTCGGCGTTAATTTGACGTTGAGAGGCGCATCGCCGATGACGCACACGTCCTACGCGTACGTCGTCGGGAACGGGAGAGTGTTAAACGCTTCGGAGGGTAAAACGCGTGCTCGAGAGCGTTGCAGGATCCACGCGTGTGCACGATTCTCAGAACTTGTTTATACCACGGTCGGCTGGTGAGGACAGTTGCGGCGGCGTCGTTCCAAGCAGCCTTCCGAATCGCCCACCGCTGTTTAGCGCGGCGGTGGGCCATGCACCGTTGGCAACTGCGTGGAATGAGCAGTTGTTACGTGATTTTAATGATCACATTGTACGTGTATGAAAACAAAACAGAAACTATTGCGGCTGGATTATAGACTATACATAAGCAAGCTGTTGTGGATTTACATTAGCCATTCATTTGTTCTGTTTTTTTTTTGTGGAGCTCCTGGATTGCCCACTTTAACATTTCGCGTCCAGGAGCACATTTGCTTTTAATGGCCTTAATAACGAGCATGGATGCGTGTTTGAGCGTGCAAAGCGCCAAGGGACGAGACGCAGGGGCTTTGAATGTGGCTTGGGTGCCTTCAATATCAGTTTATCATTTGGGAGGGGGCAGGGTTAGGGTACCTATACTGTAGATGTGACAATTCATCCGTTCGATGGTTCATCTTTATTCTTAAACTCGCAAATTTGTTGCGTCAAGCTGCTCGAGGTGACAACCATTCGCCTGCCGTGTAAAAAAAAAAAACATTTATCAAGAGGAGGAGGAGTCGGTTACTTGAATCTAATTGTGACCCTGAGCTTGCGGCAGTTCACCGCACCGCCGGGTGGAGAGGGGCGAATCGCCTTCGTCAGCGGCGGTCAGGCGAAGGGTTAACAACAAACGTACAACAACAACAACGGTACAGCGCTTTCGCTGAGTGTGCGCTGCCAGCGTACGGCAATGATGATGTCTGCTCGCAGTGCCCGGAGGAGACCCTTCACAGCACCTTGTGGGTGGTGTGCCGATGTTATGGCCCTTTACGAACTCCCAATGACAAACAAAAGAAACAAAATACCCGTCAGAGCCGACTGGGCTCAGTCCGCACGAAGGACGAATTGCGGGCGCTTCACGAGTGGCCTTTTTGCCGTGGCAGCAATGTCATTACCCCGGCACGCATGTCGCGTTGGTGACTTGCCAATCGCGGCGTCGTCATTTTATTTATTTGCACGTCACTGTGAATGCGGAATTACGGCTCTCTTGGAGCGCACCGCGGCGATGCCGATGCGCGAAGAAGAGTCGATTGCCGAATGTGTGTGCGTTTCTCAAAATACACTTACTGCCCTTAAGCTAATCGACACATTGCGTTTAGTTTTAGCTGTTGGAGCCTCAAACATTTACAGTGAATCCGAAGAATTGTAAAAATGGGCGGCTGTGACTAAAGCTATCTTCGGTCGCCGACAGTTATTATTACTGGACTTGCAATAAGGAGGTCGCTGGTTCTTAAATGCCACCAACCTCTGTCAAGCCAGCAGTATAGATGGGATATAAACACAGTTAATAATGCGGAGGCAAATTGTGGGCACACCCACCTCTTCCACCTAAGACATCTGGCCTCTAAAGGGGCACTCTTTCTCCCTCTCGTGTAAGACTTTCTGCCAGCAGTGGCATTAGAATGCAATTGCAGGGCTGCGCCGTCATCTTGGTTTATTCACTACCAGCACAGATGCACTCTTGTGTTTCCGTACGTAAAGATATCAGTTGCAGGGAGACAACTGGAGAACACATCACGGAATGCGTGCTCATGGCAGTTATTGATCACGGACTGGAATAAGAAAAAGTTTAAATAGAGAGGTGAGCAATTGCAGGGCTGCCCCTTTACCTCTTGATCTGACCAAATACATAAGCGTATATGTGTGGGAGAAAGCCAAAAAGTGGACATCTAAATCCGACTAAAGACACATTTTCTCTGGCCTTTCTACATATTACATGCGGAAACTCATTTCATATTCCAGCAATGACCATATTTTTTTTGACCTTATACTTAGGGCTCCAAGAGTCGGGTGTTGTGCTTTGTGTGAGCAGGGAAATTACTTGTGGTCTGCAGGGGAAGAGGCAGAATAATACATTTGGTTCATTGAAGAAGAAAAAAACTGTGCAATTGAAAATATTCAGATTTAAGAATTAAGTTTAAAAAAAATGTCTGCTTGAGGTCTGAATGTCACTTTAAGTAGACAACTCAGAAGTTGGTTGCTTTTTCAAACAGTTTATGAACCTGTAGCCCCGTTTAAATAGGATTGGCCACGGCTCGTGATAACATTACCTCTCTTGCAAATCTGTTCCACATTCATCTGCAAGATGCATTTCACTTAACCGAGGTCACGCTCGAGTCGTTTTATGGAAAGTCAATAATTATCAATGCCAAACGTGAATAGTTGTGGCCCCACCGATTTCACAGTCATTTTAACAGTCAAAGTGAAGACATTTATAATCACAATTGAAGGTCAAGCCACTTCGCTGACGTTCTTGTGCCATGTTCCGTCCATGGTGCGTGACCTTCAGCTGACCTAGACACCGGTTTTAAGTGGTAGTTGAACAACAGGTAGACCTGAGGTGTGGCAGAGCGATTAGACAATTTAAAATGGATATGAGGGTGGTCAAATGATTGTCAGTTTTGGGTATTAAACATTCTACCTCTTGGTGCTATCTAACGGCCACAGCAGTCGTCTTCCGTGGATATAGACACATGGCCTGCAATACCCAGTCGTGGCCTGGTCCAAACATGCACTCTTGTGCACTTCTCTGGCATCCGCTAAATATCTATTGCTTTGTAAATAACACAAGCCCCCTCTTGAGGCTATTATGGCCTATTCATCCAAACTGTCCAGGTGTTTTGGAAGAGCTGAGAGTACCCACAATTGAACCCACCACATGCCACCGGCCGATCGACTAACTGTCGTGAACCCATTTATACTGCTGGGTGAACAGAGGCGAGGGGGGGGGTGTTAAGAAAATGTAAACGTTCCATAAACTGCCGTGCTGGAAGTAGGAATTGAACCAATGACCTCTGGATTGCAAGTGCAGCATGCTCACCATTATACCCAGGCAGCATCCAAATTTTTGTATGTATGGATGTAAATATGCATACTCTGCCCATAACTGACACTGTATACATATCCATAACCTGTACGATTCCCCAAGGTTGTCTTCCTCCTGACAATACTTGATACACCCCCAGACTGTGTGTTTCGCACACATAGGAAGTTACATGTAAATTACTGACCGTATTTTTTCCAGGGTTTCTGCGATTGTGATTTTCCACGGTGCGATGTCACGTTTCACGACGCAGCGATCATGCTGATATTTAAGGAGGCTTACCGGCTGTAATAACTTAGCAAGCGGCGGAGTCAAAAGTCAGTGTTTTCCTTCCACAATGAGCATTGAGGCATTGGTGCTCATTTCCCCATATACAGCCCTGCAGAGCCAGTGATGGAAATTCCACATTCCTATGTTGGGGGCGAACATCGCCATAGGACAACGACTATTGACTTTACCACACAAAGCGATAGTAATTTTATCGACCGCAGAGATATTCATATTTTAGACTCCTAAACCAAGGTTTAAACTTGCAAACTTTGACTGTGAGCCGCTTGCTCTGCTGCTCAGACACCTCGCTGGTTATTCTGATGTCAGTTTTTCACAACTTTGTAAATTGTTATCAATTTATTATTTTATTCTCATTCTACGTGACTTTACCGAAAGAACCAAAGAAGATGAATCATTGCAGTCACGAAAGCTTTAAATCGAAATTTAACCGCCTCTACGGGGAGGGATTCCACACATCCTTAAGATCATTCAACAGACTCCGGGATAAGAAGGCTCAACTAATCGAGTCTCTCACCTTTCTGAAGATATGCCGCGACTCTAAGGCGCTTTGTTTCCTCTCACACAGCTTAGAGGTCGTGATCTGAACGTGGCTCTTTCACTCCAGCGCTGTCCTACCAGACAGTCTCGTCCCTTCACCTGATGAAGGCCGCTTGTGTTGTGGCCGAAACGCCGTGAGAATATTATTGTTATTTTATTTTATCAATTTATTATTTTATTCTCATTCTACGTGACTTGACCGAAAGAACCAAAGAAGATTTGTAAATTGTATTTATTTCTGTGTCCTCCTGCTTTGCTGTGTTTCTGGTAAAACTAAAGTTCACTCGGACGTTCTTCAACGGCATGCAGTTCGCTTGACATGAGACTATCATGCCCTCTAATGCAACCTTACAATCGATAACGCACATGCTGTTAGTCGCGTGATAATATAATTGATAATTCATTGAGCGATGAAGATAATTATGCTGTATAACCCCCACGCAAATGAATTGCTCCCAATAACATTTCACGGAGCACGTATTCAATTGACGGTAGCTATTTCTGTCGAAATATAATTGCTTGGCAAATTCATGAACATTTTCGTCTGGACGATTTGAAGCGAAGATAACCTGACCGACGGCATGTAACGAAATGGCGTTTTTTTTCCTGCAAAACGGACTACACGATTAACACGGATCTCATGCTGTGCGATTTATCGCTGGATCGTCGCATCGCTAGATCCCGAGTCTTTTCCCCATCGTCCGAACCCCTTCTCCACCTGAACTCTGATCCCATCTGTCCACTGCAGGAGACTGCAGCTGCCGGGATGGCTACCTACCTGACCCTGTCTACAGCCACCTTTGCGTGCGCAAGCAGTGGGAACTAAACCAAGGGTGAGTCTCTCGTGACACGTGACACAAACTGCCTGCACCACCACCACCACCGACTTAAGTTATGTACAAGATAAGAGCTGCGATTATTCACCAAGTCAAAATATGTGTGTGCAATATTTTCAGAGGGGGTGAGAGCTTGAGTAGAAAGCAGGATATACCAAATACGATCGTAGCATATATTACTCATTCTCTCTAGCGATGAACATTCGTTTAAATCTTGTTTAACATTCACTGTGCCATGCCCCCCCCCTTCCGCTGACTTTTCTCGGCCCCCCACCCCGGTCTGAATAATATCTCAATTGAAAACTATTTTCTCTAGATCTGCTTTTTGTGTTTAGTTTGTTGTCTTTCCCCCCGCATCTCGGATTAGCACAGTTGGCTACATACGGTGCAAAAGAAGTTCAACATACATGCATACATCAGCCAATGATCAGTCAGCTGCTGAACGATGTCTTCCTACGCTGCAACAAGCGCAATAATGTTCCACCTATATTCTTGGTTCTTTCGGTAAAGTCACGTTGAAGGGAAACAATTAAATAATAATATATATAAAACAATAAAATTCTCACGACGTTTCGACTGCAACACAAGCAGTCATCATCAGGTGTGAAAACCAACGGCAAGAACATTTGAAAGAAGTGGCGGTTTGTATTTATGTATTTTTAAACGTTAGCCCCACGGATAGATATTCGTGGTGCTAACGTTTAAAAATAAATGCAAACTGCCAATTCTTTCAAATGAAAGCAGTGGCGGAACTAAACCAAGGGTGAGTCTCCCGTGACACGTGACACAAACTGCCTGCACCACCACCACCGACTTAAGTTATGTACAAGATAAGAGCTGCGATTATTCGCCAAGTCAAAATATGTGTGTGCAATATTTTCAGAGGGTGTATTTATTTATTTTTAAACGTTAGCACCACGGATAGCTATCCGTGGTGCTAACATGGCGCTGATGTTTGAAAATAAATAAATAAATACGGACCGCCACTTCTTTCAAATGTTCTTGCCGTTGGTTTTCACACCTGATGATGACTGCTTGTGTTGCAGTCGAAATGTTGTGATGAGACGGGGGTAGGGGGCCGAGAAAAGTCAGCGGGAAGAGGGGGGGGGGCATGGCACAGTGAATGTTAAACAAGATTTAAACGAATGTTCATCGCTAGAGAGAATGAGTAATATATGCTACAATCGTATTTGGTATATCCTGCTTTCTACTCAAGCTCTCACGCCCTCTGAAAATATTGCACACACATATTTTGACTTGGCGAATAATCGCAGCTCTTATCTTGTACATAACTTAAGTCGGTGTCCATTCCCGAGTCTCGCTTGTGTACTGTACTAAACAACATCCTTACAGTCTCAAGCTTTTGTGCACCGCAACAATCCAAACTGATGTTCATGCCTGTATAATGATATTATTGTTGCAGCACTAGTGACCTTTTCAAAGTGTTTTGATGTTGATGTTTTTATTTTATTTTTTATTAGGAATAATATTCAAAGCGTTGTGTTGCTTCATTCAAACCGCTTATGTAGAGGCATTATCATTTTTTATCGTCAAGCTTTAATCCTTGGAGACACATGGCACATGTCAAAAAATATATAATATTAATAATTAAAAGATATAATACATTTTAATCCACTGTTGCACTGGCTGTGACCTTTCGTAGAAAGCCTTTCACTGCTTGTGCAGTGACACCCGTGCCAGCATGGTACGTAGAGTTTACCCTTGACTGGTTTGAATGAACATCTACACTTAAATCTTTCCCGTCCCGTCTGCATACTCTGCGAGATAGGAGGCCATCCTCAGTCAAGCACAATGGAAGCAAATTGTCTGATAAATTGCATTGTTGATGCATCAATTACTGGGGTTCATGTTCTACAAAATTCTATTCGGGTTTATATCCTCAAATTGTGTTGACAAGTGCTATCACCCTTTGTATGAAATCCAATTTTTATCTCCATCCATTATGTATATGGAGTCTGTTCATTTGAAAATTAAATGGAAGGGGTTTTTCTGAGTTATTTTAATACAAACTCTGCACCCCCTATTTGCTCAAAAATGAGAAATGAATTTAACATCTTAATGAACTCTAGTTGATTAAAAGGTTCAATTTAATCAGGGAAAAAATATGCCGTTTAAAACATTATTTTCACTCTATCTTTCAGCACAAATTACACTTATGCACAACATTAAGATAATTCCTTGGCAGTAGAGCACACGAAAAATAAAATCTCACCACACTCATCATTGACCCGAACTAATGACATGAAACTATTCCACAGACTGATGTTTCAGGTAGCTGCCCTTCCTTCTTTGAATATATATAGTTTGACTAGACAGCGGTAATGATGTAAGTGCTGATTTTTTTTTCTAATTTGATTCATGCATTTAAGATGCTGCCATATGTTTCTGAAATGGTGAGAGCACTGGGCTTGCGATCCAGAAGGTCGCCGGTTCGATTTAATATCCTGGCATCGGCAGTTGAAACGATGGGGCGAGTTTCCTGAATCCAACCCTGCCGCTGTCCACCAAAAAGCGGTATAAATGGGTACAACCATGGTTAATCGATTGGCGGGGTAAAGTGTGGGTTGCTCCCACCGGATCCAAAGACGTCTTTGCCAGCATGGTAGAAGTTGGCCAACATACCCTCTGGAGGGGCTCTCGGGAACTCCTTCTCTTGTGGAAGCCAATTCTGCCAGCATTGGCATAAGCAAGGCATTGTAGGACTGTTCCTTCACGTACTCTTTTAATGTACTCACGACCAGCGCACATATTTACGGTGGCATTTACTCGTGTAAATATTGATGATTTATATCGGAGGGACGCAAATGGAAAATACGACAGTGGACGGTAATTCATGGCCGGGAGCGGGGTCACCAATCTGAAATGAAGATGACGACGAGAGCAAGGTGGAGTGGAAAGTATAATCTGATAACGGAAATCAACGTACGCCAATGTGGCCGAAGAGGAGAGTTATCAATCAGTGCACACTACCTGCTGTGACCTATGGATCGGAAACGTGAACTGTGACAAAGTAAATTGAGCAACATCTGAAAAGCCATTAGGCACGCCAGAGGCACGGAGAGAAACACGTACATCGGCGTACCACGAGTTAGAAATGCCGTGTTGACTGTTAATGAAAACGAAAAGTAGGGATGCTTGGGTGAGACACATCGGCAAAAAATTGGATGATGGCCGGTGGTCGAGATTCGTGACAGAGTTGCAGCCGAAGTAAGGGTAGATGCGCATGGGTGCGTCCACTGGGGAGACGGAGCAATGAAATGGGCTCGTGTGCAAGGGGGCTATACGGAGAGAGACGGCCACGGCTGAGGGAGGCCTTTGTCCAGCAGTGAATGGATAATGGCTAATGACGATGACGAGAGAGACATCGCACCGCCGATGAGCACAGTTGGCTAAGTGCGATTGGAAAGAAGTTCCACACACGTACATACATCACGAGAGTATCAAACTAAACATGGATGTTCAGCCCGTAATTTTTTTTATATTCATTTTCAGATAAATTGAATTGCGTAATCTTTTCTCAAGAGCGTCTTGCGATGGGTTCGACATGAACATTCCGATACAGATCTGGCGCTGCGCAGCTTTTTCACAGAAGTATGCACACCCTGCTGTCCGTATGCTGCATATCAAGCAATTGCTCTTGCGATAAAATTCAAACTCAGAGCTGCGGTCTTGGGCTGATAGGGTGTTTACTGCAGTGGGACCCCCAGCTGTAGAACTCTCTACTAGTGGCCTCCCACCCCCAGTTGTGGAACTCTCTAATGGTGCCCCCCCCCCCCCCACTCAGTTGTGTAAATCTCTACTGGTGCCCCCCCCAGTTGTGGAACTCTCTAATGGTGCCCCCCCCCACCCAGTTGTGTAAATCTCTACTGGTGCCCACCCCCAGTTGTGGAACTCTCTACTGGTGCCCCCCCCAGTTGTGGAACTCTACTGGTGCCCCCCCCCCAGTTGAGGAACTCTCTACTGGTGCCCCCCCCAGTTGTGTAAATGTCTACTGGTGCCCCCCCAGATGTGGAATTCTCTACTGGTGCCCCCCCCCCCCAAGTTGTGGAACTCTCTACTGGTGCGCCCCCCCAGTTGTGGAATTCTCTACTTGTGCCCCCTCCCAAGTTGTGGAATTCTCTACTGGTGCCCCCTCCCAAGTTGTGGAATTCTCTACTGGTGCCCCCCCCCCAGTTGTGGAACTCTCTACTGGTGCTCCCCCCCAGTTGTGGAATTTTCTACTGGTGCCCCCCCCAGTTGTGGAATTCTCTACTGGTGCCTCCCCGGTTGTGGTACTCCCTACGTGTCGTGATGAGGCTCTCCCTCTCTTTAAACAAGTTCGTTTTTTCTCCCGAATTCGTTTTTATTTTTGTCTTCGGGTCTTGTTTTCCCACGCAGTTATATTTTTTTACCTTTCTCATTTTTATGCACGGCACCTTGAGACATTTGTGAAACGTGCCTTATATAAGTGCACAATGTTATTGTTACAGTGAAAAGCTAAGTGACAGCCATTTTGGCAACTGTCAAGCAGCCTGACGTTGGTTTTTATGAAAGTGGCTCGTGTATTTTTTCTGCATCGCATGTAAAATGGAACAGTTGAGCCCATTGCTGTATTCCGTATGCAATGTGTATATATTATCTGCGACAATATTTCACAAGACACAGAGTGGTGCATACAATAACGCATAATACGTTACAGAATAGCAGCAACTTTTTTTTTTAAATATTAGAAGCCATTTTACAGAAGCTTTGACCTTGGCATACAGCTCGCTCATATCCATTTTTATTTAGTTGTACATGTATAAAAGAGAGCTCAGCTTCCAGAGTGATTGCAATTGGGTAAGCGTTCATTTTCAAATCATAGCTCACACGCCATTGTGATGCACGGGACTGAGTCCTTGACATTTGGCTCAGTTGATTTTAAACTAAAGTCCTATTTTGTGAATCACTTTTGTGCAGACGAAATGTTGCTGCGTGATCAGGCTGTGCCGCCGCGC